TGGCTAAAACCTGCTGACCCAGCCCGTATGCTTGTCCGGCCCTAATTCGTTTTGTTACACTGTCCTTCCACAGAATGCTGTCTCGGTGCACTTTTGCAGGATAAGGGCACAACAAGAAGGCGCCAAGATAAGATGAGTCAAGGGTCATAAGAGTGGGATGAGAAGTGAGTGATGGGCGAGCCTTCAAGTGCCGACATCCAGTCTCCCTGTGTGGGGCCTTCTTTACACCTGTCTGTGTTGGAAGGGATTCTGAGGATGTGAAGCAAAACAATGGTGACCTCTGATTCTACACAGTCTTCAACCGTCTGACAGCAAGACAGTGGGAATGCCAAGATATGTCCACAGAATCATACCATGCCTGCTGTCCTATCAACAGAGTTCTCACTAGACGCTTTTCAAAACTCTGCTATTAATGTCACATTATAGCATTTGACACTGAAATCACAGCAAAGGACGACAGATAAGTTGATTTTGAAGAACAATAAATTAAATGTGTCACCAAGCTACTCCATACAACAAGCTATTTCATGAAAAACAAGCTAATTTTACAATGCTGTGGCTCATTTCTTCAGTAAATTAGAAAAACTGAAATATTTGATCGACACCATTTCCCATAAGGTCTATGGATTTTCAAATTTCTTGATGTTAAATAACTTGTCTTATGAACCTACTGTCAATGTCTTGGCTTCCTGTTTTAGCACCAGTAGTTAAACAGCCAAAGTATACAGAATAAATAAGGACAACTTCTAGCCACAATTTGTCACCTTCTGAATGTTTGTGGTGGTTGCAGCAGACATCTGACCCTGATACTCATGTTGCACTGTGTTAATTACAGGGCGGAAATGCTTACTGTGTACACACACTGACACAGTGAGATTGTGGATCAGGCTTGCGTGCTGCCCAAGACATCCCTTAGTCAGGTGTGTTTGACCTATCCCTCTGCTCATCCTATCAGCCTGTCAATTATGTCCTCGTCCTCTGACACTGTTGTTAGCTAAGCCAATGCCAAGCAGGGCTATTAAGGACTAGCACCGGGTGGCCTGAGGAGTGTGGGGGGGGGCGCTGGGGGGTGGGGGGACGGGGCATGCCCCAGCACGTGTGCGTGCTCTAGCTCCACTCACCAGACCAAAGATCAAGTCCCTTAAGCTGCTTTTCTGAGCCAAGAAAAGCTTACAAGTCGTCACGTTGATCAGAACAAATGGTCCCAGTTATAGACCCTGCAGCAGAGCCTGAGTAGAGGCTGCACTCACTCGGCAGACAACAGAGAGCCCGGTGAAGCAGTTTGGCTTTCTTCAAGGAGCCTAAGCACAGTCAGGGAAAATGTAGCCCAGACTTATTCATGTTTGACTGCGCATCCAACCCCAAGGCTGGAACAGCAGTATTGAGTTTATAGACCACTGGTTAGAAAGAATAGAAAAACATGAGTTCCAACAGAATCTGTGACATCAAGTAAAATATTCAGTGGGAGAGCTGGGTTTCATTTTAAGATTTTCAATACTGACTTTGACTTGACAACCTTGACTTTGATAATGGTTCAGTGTTTATTCAAATTCCTTGTGCTGCTGATTTTAGCATTTCTTTTTTGCATTGATTGAATCACACACTATCGGCAGCAAGTCTGATAAAATGGAGCCACACATTTTATCTCTTTGACATTTTTATAGCTACTATGTGATACACAACATAGTCAAGCTTCTTAAAACACATATGTGAGCCCTGTCTCTGCCTCTACGGCATGTTCTTATTAGATAGCCAATCAGCAGCTTCATTAGATCTTGGTAAAAGGGTGATGCTTGCTTATTGGTTTGCTGACACGCTGATCAGATTTACTCATTAGATATTGAACTGTGATGCCAAGTGACAAGGCATTTTTTGACACTCGATAATATTATTCAGACAGTACCATAAACATGTTACAGTTCAGTTCCAAGCCCTTTTCACCAGTGAGTTTTGGTGACTGGTGTGGAGTGCATGTTCTTAAAACAACTTTCTGACATTTGGCCTTGTAGCTGTAACAGTTACATATAGTTAGATACAGTCCATACTGCTGATGTACGCATCTACTTTGCAGCTAGAGACCTTTCACAAACACACATGGACAAAAAATATAAACAGTCATTCAAGAACCCCCACAATTCAGTGTTGATCATATCTTCACCAGCCAACCATGGACAACAGGCTCCCGACTCTAATGGACAAGACAGAGCCTTTTTAATATTCCACAACGCATGCTGAAAGGTGTTTAACTAACACTGTTTGCCCACCTCCCCTCATAAAGACTCAAGCAGAAAAGCTCATATTGCCGCCACTGTCTGGGTAGTGGGCACTGAGGGAAAAATGATTTGCCGTGGGTATTAAACCCTGGCCTAATAAACAATATTAAAATGAATAGGTTACAGTGGAGGAGGAAGGTACATGATAAGTGACTGTTCCTGTGGATTTGTTGTAACAAGTAAAAGCTTGTTGTATTGATTATCCATAAACAGAGTCATCAACCAAAAGGGAAAACAACAGCCATGAATCTGAGCCATCTGTGTCTGTACTGTAAAACAAATCCTCCACATAAAAAAACAAGGATCAACCAATGACTATCCTGAGCTACGAATCTGTTATCAACATGTGCAAAAGAAAAGGGACTGATGGGCCAAAGGCTGTGAGATCAAAGTGGCGACACAGCAACATGCAGCTTTTTCCTGTTACTGCTACTAAGGCAGTGTAATTAAGTGGTGACATGTGGAATTGAAATAGGGCTGTTAGGAGGTAAATGATCAAAGAGGCAGAGCCTCCACATTATCTGGTCCCATTGCACAGTGTGAGCTTCTACAATAACCCCCCCCCCCCCCCCTCTTTCGGCACCTTTTATCCCCATCCTGTGGTCTCTGCTGTCACAATGAGTCTGCTTGTCACAGAGGTTATCAAGACCTGTGGTAGCCATGCAAGGCAAATCGTCTCGCCGGCAGTAGATTTACAGAGGTTGATAAGTGTTGTAAAAAAACGGCCTCAGTCAGACTGAACCATAAAGGAGGGGCTTCCAATTTACAAGACTCGAAAGTCTGCTGGGATGGAACGAATGCCGTTTCTGCTGCTGTTGTGGAATCATAGTATAAGCCTGACATACTTGGGTGAACAACTATGCCTGATACATATAGCTTACAGTGGGGCATGTGCTTAAAGGGAATTGGATTAACTGCTGGCAAAAAGGGGGGATTATTAACGATTCTGACTTTAAGTGTACTTCTAAAAAGATGGATTACCATTTCAATTTCTGCCCTCTTCTCTTGCTAATGGAAATTCAAATTAGTTTAGTACTGTTCAACTACCAAGCAACAACATCACGCTGGCTGTGTCGATCTGAAAATGAAGACTGGAGCAGGGGGAAAAGCAGGCTGCAAGTATCTGGATGAGGTAGAGTGTAGTGTTTTACAGGACAGTCTGTTCCTGGCCCACTCTGTTCTGCTGCAGCCCCGTTTGAGTCTGCACAGATCAGTTAGGTTGAGCCAGGAACAGGAGGAGGCAGAATAAACAAGTTGCAAAGGATGTAGTACACGAGATGAAAAAAATACAAATGTTATCTGCAGAAACGCATCGGTAAATCACCTAGTAAGTCTCTTCCTTCAAATTTGGCTATATAAGTTTTATGATGCATGGAGTTTCATTCCACTGCTTCATTAAATTATCTTTTTAATGGTTAATCACAATCCAGCAACAACCATTCAGTGCTATTCCACCATCAAGAACGGAGAAAACAGTGATTCATTCTGTTCTGTCATCTTCAGGCTTTACACTACTCTGCTCTGATTGGCAGAGATGATTCTAGGCCATAAATGGCCACGGAAACAAACTAGAGAGGATGCCTGCAGAAATGTGAGGGAGAGTCAGCCGTCACACTGTGTCGTAGGAACAAACAACTGTTCTGGCAGCTTTTTTTGAAAATGTATTTGTGTGGGTGGAACACTGGGAAAAAAATCGCAACCTGTGCCGAAATCTGCCGAGGCCAGTCAGTCGACCGGCTGGCCTTGTGGGGCATCGCACACAAGCACCGAGATGACACATCAACTCTTGTCTATATTTAACTCACTGGACGCCTCTCCTTCCAATGTTCCCATTCATTTAGGAGAGGCTGCCAGGGAGAATAGTGAGAAAAACAGGCCGAGGTGATATGTAATTACACTCAATGGATCCATCCTCCCACATCCTTTCATTGTACCCACACCCTCGGAGATAATGAAATGGAAGGCAAAGCTTTTTTTTTTCTATTTACCATAAATCCTGCAAGTCTAGCCTCTCTTATTTATGGTGTTGAAGAAAACCCTTTACCGCTTGACTCTCGAGGCCTGCAAAGTCATGGAACATAAACACCAGCGTCTAACCTATGTGGGTGGTGGCCTCAATCTGATAAGGGCTTCTAAGAAACCAGAATTTGCTCTCTTCAGAAAAGGATGTGGAAAACCATCATAACCCAAGGTCCCCCTGAATACCCCACATTTCTTCCACTGCAGATACTATCTTGAATGCAGATATTTAACTCAGGATAGAACTATGTTCAGGCTTGAAAGACACTGAAAGGACATTTTGCCCAGATACAGGGCTGACTTTGTTTCCACTTCTACATACCAATGAAAAACATATTTGTATCAAAACAAGCATTTAACTTTTGACATCAATTCCAGCTCTGCCTGTATGCACCCATATAACTCAGAGCCCTAAGCAACCACACAGTTGCATAAGTTTTAAAAGGTACAAAAGAGTGTGTGCACGAAAGAGGTAAACAGTAAGGTAAATGGAATGAATGTCCTTAACTGGACACAGGTAAGTCACCTCTTACTATTGTTTTTCAGGACCTGAAGAGCAGGAAGTACTTATTTTAAGAATCTTGTTGGGCAAAACGAAAGTAGGACATGATGGATTTATTCACATGTCAGGGTAGGGCGTGGATGTGCCCAAAGTCTCTGCTCTATGATCTAAAGGCCAAGTGTTTTGAAAATGTAATGCCAACTCACCTATTCTTCTCCAGTTCATTATGTGTGGACCTGCAGACAGAAAAACAGAGGGTATCACATAAAGAGCAAATGTAGACTTCATAATTAACAAGCAAAAAGTGCAGATCTATAGTACCTGCTCCTCATGAAAAGGCACTATACTCTGGATAAATATGGTGTAATTATTTAATAAAACTGCACCAGGTAGACAAAGAGACACAGAGAGAGAGGCATACTAAATTAACTTGTCCAAATTGATTTATGAAATGATTAATTAATCCCCAGTGAGATGAACTCTAAACCCAGAGCACCAGAGCCTTCACACTAACAGAATGTGACAGTTGGGCATGCACTGTGGCATTATACAGCCTCTTCTTCAATAATGCACAGCACAACTCTCTGTGTGTGTGTGTGTGTGTGTGTGTGTGTGTGTGTGTGTGTGTGTGTGTGTGTGTGTGTGTGTGTGTGAGAGAGAGAGACATTGCAGCCACTTATGCTCACAGAAGTTTTCACACACACACATTTCCTCTGCATGCAGCAACCAGGGTTCAGCACTCTGTTGATAATGTAAAGTGAATCAGCTGGTCCCTAAGTGAGTCTTTGTGTGGCAACATACTGAAGGGAGACAAGCCCTCCTCCTGATAATTTAAATGGCCGAGTTCCCATCCACACACACTGCACTCCGCCTTGCTTCAGGGGGTGTATGTGTGAGACGGGGGGGCGTCTTTTGAGTCATGTACACAGAATTTCTCGATATTGTGGGTTCGCAACACTGAAACACACTTTGCACGTCAGCTCAGCTGTCATCTTGTTAATATGGAAGCAGGAAATATGGAGAAAACAGGAGATAAGAATGGGAGAAGAAGGTGGTAAAGAGGGACAAGAGAGTGTTCAAAGCTTTGGTTGAGTGTGTCAAAATCAGCCCTGCCTAGTAGGAAATTATTTTTTGGTGTTTAATAATTCACACCAATAAAAACACCATATGTCCGCATTAGAATACATTACTGTTCATGTTGTTTGGTATGCAAGACTGCATATTTAGTCAAATGTGGGAGCACATTTGATTCAATGTGACCAGTTCTATGACCAGGTGAAGCAGCTCACCTGGTCATAGCAAAACAAAGGGCTCACACAGGCCATTTCCTGAAAACCTGTAAGAGCCTAAGTGCTCACATGCGTGTTCTTGACAGTTTTTGACTTACATATTCTACAACCTTGTAATGATAATGCATGAGTGCACCCTGCATCACATCAGCCACACAAATAAAAAAAGAAATCACAAAACTGATCCATCTAAACCAGCTCCATCTTTTAAGTGCAGTTACTATGCTCAAAAAAATGTATTTTACGTGGCCTAAAAGCTATGGGATTCATCCTTCGCTGGTACAATGATGAGTCCTAACAGCTATATAGACATATAATTACTTTCTAAACGCAGTCCATCCACTAATTTCTGTAGCTGATTGTGAGTCATGGAGATAGTTTTGCTAACAGAAGATGAGTATTTCAGTGCACAATTTGCGTCATCAGCTGATATTGTGCACTCATTTTTGTGTTGCATGGTAACCCAAATGCCAATTTGTAATTTTTTCCAAACTTGGAGCATTTCACCATTTAGTAATTCAGTGTGGTGTGTAATAATGTTAGCTTTCTGGCTCATTATCACTCTTGAAGAATCAAAGAAGTACTGAGTGGATGATTGGTCGAGGCCACATCAAGTAGTGTACCAATGATTTGTTTTCAAAATGACGGTTTCATCTTAACAAATGACAGCAGGAAATCAAAAGACAGAGTCTCTTCAGAGATAGAAACGGTGGTGGGTTAAAAAGAGGAGATAAGTGAGGAGACATGTTAAAATTCAGATATTGTATTCTGTTTTCAATAGAGATAACTTTAGATGTGGAAGTCAGTTTTAGTGACATGCCAATGTCACCTATGCCGTCTCTTAATCTGAAAATGAAACAGGCTTCGGTTTAGCCCTGGTCCAAGCCCTCCCCATTCAAACACCACACATTAAATCTCGGTACGGCCTCTTATTCTGAGAGATCAATCTAACTCAGCTCGCTTTACTATTGGCTGTTATCATCACAAACCCCTCTCCCTGCGTCCTGAATGAAATATCTGCTTGTCTGGACCTCAACAACAATGCATTACAGATTATATAAAGGCTCAACGCCACACACATCTGCAGCATTTCCTTTATGTAGGTGTGTATGTTTGTGCGCGTGCATAAACATACACACAGAGTGGGTCAATGAGATAAAGCAACTCTGCTATAAACAGTAGGCAGGAAGGGACAGAGTCAGATAAGCTCATCACTTTAAGCCTCAATACGCTACAGGGAAGGAGACGGTATCTAAAGCAGGAGCAGCTAGTGCCAGAAAGCAATCGAAAATATGTTTAAATAAAATGTCAAGTTAATATAATTATTATAATGAATGTATTATAATGACCTACAAGGTCTGATTAACATGAACTGAGGGGCTGACTGTAGGTGAGGAATGATCATGAACAGTAATATGACCCATGAGGTGCAAATAAAGTGCCATGCTCTCATTTGAACACCATCATTTGTCAGTAATGAAATCTTCAAGTTTTTGTCCTTTTGAACGTACACCGAGAGGATGATAAAGAGGTAGACATGTTGTTCAGACCTCTTGGGCTGAGGAGCAATGCATTAATTTCTGCAGACTCTGTAATCTGACAGTGTGGTGGGTGACTAATTAGCATGATTTCTCACCTATACTGGCAAACCATGAATAGAACCATTGAATAAAAGTAGAGCACTAGAGACCTTGAAGGCACTTGGGATATCCATATAATGCTGTTTTGTTGGTTTGGGAAGTGAGCAGCTCCAGTGGGAATGAAATGAACTGCATCACGATACGAGGCTGATAAATGGTGTTAGGTGCTAAATGGTGTTACCTCACTAAGAGAGCTGTGAACGTGTCTCTGTGGAGAGCAATAATACCAACACCAAACATTATTCCTGCATGGTCTCATTTTAAAATCCTTCAAGAGTGCTCATCTCTATTCTAAAGTTGTTCACCATAGGAGGAATATCTTATTGCTTTCCGACAATTTCATTTTACATGAAAAAGTACAGCATTGTAAAACACAATTAGACCATGCTTTCTGTTGAGTTGTCCTATTAGGACAAAACCTTAGGAGACATAATGAATATGGCCTCAGACCTACAGTATATCTGATTATGACTGTTGCTATGCAGAACTAGGCAGCGTTCTGCGCCCATGATGAGTAATACGCAGTTCCTGTTTGTGGCCCGCTCTTGCATTAATATTAAAAGGCTCAGAAAACGAAAGAGAGAGAGAGTGGGGCTTGCATTTGATGTATGGCTGTCAATGAGCAGATTAATGTAAGCAGCCTAACACCAATAGAAAACACAATGCCCCTTGGTCTTAACTTGAGAGATCCCTGCCTGCCTCTCTGACTACTAAATGCAAGTTTGTGTCATCAGTGAAAGCACTGTGCTTAATGATGGCCTTAATCTATGTGGCAGCTCATGATGTGATAACCAGTGACATGAAGGAACACAGAAGAATAGATTATTAAACATATGTTCTAAAAAAACGAATCATCAGCTTTAAACCGATGCATGCAAAAAAGTGCATGAGTGCTTTATTCCTAAAACAGAGTTGTATATGGAGGTGAAACAGCAAATGAGTGATTACCCTAAAAATCATGAGTCCTGAAAAGGCTCCACGTAGTCACCTTTGGATGTCTGTAAACAACACCAGCCATAAATAGCAGCTTTTCCCCTTTAGGGCATAAGACACAACTACCTCCCTCTCCCCCAGTGTAAAATACACGTGGCATGCGAAGAAAATATGCTTGAGTGCCACAAAAAGCTTTAACAACCCTCATTTGAAAATAAGATAATAGGCTGTGGGTTTATTAAACCAGGACTAAGCAGATGACACGACGTTAGATTAGACCTTTTTTTTCTCTTTGGAGCCGCCACTTTAACCACGGTCCCTAACCTCAACCACTGCAGTCCGTTTGACAATCAGCTGATGAGAAGCTGGAAGAGCTGCTGCTGCCCCACCGATCAGATGTGCACACAACAATCAGACAAGCCCCGACACGTTTCCAAAACATCTTGTTTTCTTTCTTTTGCAAACTTTCTTTTTTTTTTTTTTTAATCAAGAGGGGTGGCACCTATGTTGTCTACCAAACCCTGCTGCCATAAAGACGATAGCAGCGGGTGCGTGATCTCATGCTGCCTGCAACATACCATCCATCACATCATGTCAACACATCTAAAATACATTTCCAAGGGATGACACTTAACAGCAAAGCACTTTCTTACCTATTGTGGTTACTGCTAAACTTCTTATTCCGGAATTTCCGTTGCCTCTGGTAATTCGAGTCGTCGTTTGACGGAAACGTGGAGGCATATCCATGTTCACACTCTGTGGATAGAAAGACGTGTGATTAGCAGACGGCATGTTTGGGACATTTGTTTCACTCGATCGTGTGCACCGATCCTTCGGGCTAACCAGAAAACTCGTGTTGTGATCATGTTCAGGTCACGAACAAAATCTGCTGACAATACTTCCCTTTTTTAAAACCCCGTGTTCCCCAGCAGGCAGTGGACAGAGGTGTTTAATGGCTATTTAAACACGTCTGACTGTATAATTACCTCTTTCTTTCCTCTCTAGAAATTCCGCCGCTTCCAGTAACCGTTGGATATTTATCAGCTGAACAGCCGTCATTCTCCCCTGAGGCTGATGTTAGCTGCTCCCTTCAGGGTTTAACGTTAGCTCTGCAAACGGCACGACGACTTTTTTTTAAATGCAGGGAAGACGGTGCATTAGTTACAACTAAACTGAATTTTACTTAAAAAAAAGATGATAATACAAGTCGTATAATTATTGTTGTCTGGTGTCTTCGCTGGCTCATCAGCAGCGGTTGTCGAAAGCAGGAGAGAGAGGGGGGGAAGAAAAAAATCCAGTGTTTCCAAGCTAGCAAGCTAAAGCCAATCCTTGCCAGGGTTAGTTGTATGAAAATGTCAAAAAACGAGTGTATGAAAGTATTAAAAGTCTCTATGAAACGCGATATTAACTGTCCTTTAAAAAAGCGGATATAAACAATATAAAACTTCCCCGAAGGAGCACGGAGCCAGCAAAGAGCCGCCGCTGCTCGCTTCCTCCTCTCTCCTGTTTGTTTACCTGCTGCACAGCTGAGAGGCTCAGAGCAGGCGGGGGGAGGCCGGCCTCACCGCGGTGCACTCTGGGAAACACAGTCTTTCTCTGCATACTGTCAAACGTGCACAAAACTCGCTATTTCCGGGATAAATCCTGACTTTAGAGCGATTGATCAACTAAAACATCGTCCGCAATGCAGCACAGTTTAAATGCAACCATGCCAGGGCAGGGCTGAGGGGTAATCACAAGGAATGGGGCAAGTTTGAAGGGCAACAGGTTAATTATAAATGAAGGGGTGATAATTCATGTCAGTTTCAATTGGGGCTAACGTAGAGACACATGGAAAAAATAACTTTGAAATTCAAGATACCACTGAAATATTCAGTATTATTATGACCACAGACCAGTTATACTGTAGTATTATACTATATATTATAGTATATTATAGTATACTATAATATATGATACAGTTTACGTCATATACGCCTATAAAAAAGGCCAATCTTAACTAATTTAGCCAACCAATCGTTCACTTTTTATACGTTTACTCCATATATGTATCATGGGTTCATGCCGCTCTCCTCTGTCCCCCTACAAGTCCCATGATCCACCGGGGCATTGGGGGTGTACTCCCCGGCTGAAGCCAGGCCCAGCAACACGTGACGTCGCCAACGAGCGGGCCCCTGATTGGCCGGCGGCTTTGACGAGCGTCGAGGGCTGAGCTCGCCACTGACCAACCACCGGGCAGCTTTGCGCCATGTGGAAGCCAGTCGGACACACCCACAAATAGCAGGAAGCAAACAATCGAGATGAGAGGAGCTCTGCTGCGATCTGCCCCCTGCTCAACTCCCACGTTATATTAGAATACATGACATTACTCAGGGGATCTCTGCAGCGCTGCATTAGCACATAAGCCCCTGTCTTTGCACGAAAACAGCCCTGCACGGACAGATGCGTGTATTCATGGGAGCGATGGAATAAAAACAGCCCCGTCTCCAGTGTTGACATAAAGCATTGCACGTTGAAAAGGAAACGGGGGCATCATTGATCAATCGTTTTTAATGTCGAATTTCTTTGATTTCATCCCCCATGTAAGCAGATGTAGGTCAGGATCTACAATTTGAGAGATCATGCCATTCTGCAAGCAACATGGAGCTTTACGTTCCTTACAAGTGTCCTATGAATTAATGACGAACAAATGAAATATCCGGACATCCATGTGTCCTATAAACGTCCGATTCAGCAATCTGCTATGTGCGAAGCGTTTTAAAGTTTTCTGTTTTTTCCATCCAGTCTGCAGGGGCAGAATGACATCATCCCTATCTGAGTTGGAGGGCGCTGCAATGTGGTCAGATTTATCATAACACTGTGGTGGCCAATACACACAAACACACATACATATAATCATAATGTCGTATTGCTTTATATGCTGATGGCAAAAAAATTAATGATAAAGAGTTGAGAGTTGTGCAGACGCAAAGCGATGCACAGATCCCCACTTGCGCACAATGCAGATTCAAAAATAGTCCATGAAATACAGAAAGCCTCTAGTTTTATAGTGCACAGGGTAAAAACGACCCATATGAGTCAGGTGCCACGGCAGAGGCAGTGCTCACAGCAGACAGTGGTGCTTTAGTTGAATGAACTCAGCCCTTTGTTGTCTGAGGCTCTTCACAATGAAAGTCTTGTTTTCCTGAAATTTTAGTTGAGGGAAAAAGGACAGGATCAAAGGCAGCACAAATCAAACTCACTTCCGTCCTTCCTCTCGGCGCTCTCGAGAAATCGAGCGGCCTCCAGCAAAACTTGCACGTTTTTCAGAAAAGTGTTGATCTGCTCCATGTGAGAGTCTTTGGAGTTGCTGAGGACGTCATTGAAGGGGCAACTGGACATGTCGAAATCCGGCTGATCCAGCAGAGACGCGTCGGAGTCAAAGAAGAACTCCTCGCTCTGCAAACTTCTCCCCTGCCTCTCACTTTTGGCCATTTTTCTCCTCCTCTGAGTTTGTGCGTCTTCTGCTGTGGGGACGTGCTGAGGGGAGTGTGAGGGAGCTACCCGGTGCGTGCACGCTGCTCGTGTCAGATGGCTAGTCTTTTCCTTTTTTTTCTGTTTTATGAATGCAGGGGTGTTTAATGTGGAGCGGTGGCCAATGTCAGTGGATGATGGTGCATGGGAAAACCAGAGCCCGCCTCCCCCTCTCTGTTTCTGAGCAGTCCGCATGGTCCCTGTGCCCGCCTGAAGAACTGCTATTTCTGTACACAGAATAAAACACCAATGACTAAATATTCAACAGTATGTGTCGTCATTTCTTTATGATTACACAATTTCACACATAATTTCTATTTCCTACTCAATATTAGTGGGGAAAATGCATCACATTAGTGCAGGAAGTAATATACTGGCAGCAAAAGTTGCAATAGCACAGCAGCACTAGTAAAGATGTTACAAGCAGTTACAGCAAAAAAATCGAACTCTTAGTCTTAATGGTAAATAATGGACTATCCTGATTTTGCGCAAATGATGCCACAAATGAACTTTGTCTTTCACACTGGACTTTATCTCCTTCTGTAGTAATATGGTGTACTGTTTCTTCCCTGTCATCGGTCTGGTATTTGTTTTTCATGTTGTATTTATAATTGTCTGTTTGTAATTTAGTCTGACTGTGACTGGGATAATAAATTTGACTTGACTTGACTGCACTTGATACCAGTATTAGAGCTGTTGACTTTCAATAGCCAACTGAAGTAAGAATCCACACAAGTCATTCTTAAAGTTGATCAAAAGTTACATGAATCTATGTGAAATGTTGGTCAAATGCTGTATTTCAATATAATAATGAGTGTTGAGTGAATAATTATGTTACTTAAAACTCATCTTGTTGCATATGTCCTATGTTATGGATTGTGATATGTTAGCATATATATGCATATATAGATATACTATGGTACGTAAGAATTTAAATGAAAGTGAGGTAACACAGTAAGAGATAATGAAAGTAAAATGAAATGACAGCAGTAAAGGGCTATGATGTCAGAGGGATGAGTGAACATAATAGAACACCAGATTGTGTGACATGGATCTAACATTAGATCCATGTTACACAATCAAAACTAACATTACGTTTAGAGATGAAGCCACAATTATATTAACAGTATAAACTTGTGTTTTCAAAATACAAGGAATTTGCTTTGGTGTTTGGTGCAAAATAAAAACATTGAGTAGAAAATTAGAGGGGAAGATAAAGCAAATTAAGAGGCAAATACTGTCGTATAGGCAATAACTATGTAACAACTAATGTTAATATGTAACAACACCACTAAAAAATATGTTAGATATAAAAACATGAATTGATATTAAAATATGAATATACACACATTATTAATGGAAATTAAAAAAAACTGGTTGAGTAAAACAATTTTTTATTAAAAGGCATCACTCATGTTCTAGTTTTTGTTTGTGGTAGCAGTGGTATGAAAGCAGCAGTAGCTTTAGGCACAGTACATCGCTGAAGTAGCAGCAGCAGTAGTTGTGATAGCTGTGTCTGTTGTATTATACTGTGCAGTATAACACTGAAGTGTGTCTATAGACCCTCCTGTATGTGTCAGGAGCGGTAACTGAGAGATAAGTCGTCAGCCTTGATCTTGTGCCAGTCTCAGCAGACCTTTTGCAGAGCTGTTTTTAAATCACGACAGTCCATTTTGAGCCGGAACATGTCAAGGCAGAGGCCTGTGTTCGGCTCTGAACCCCCCTCCTCTGCCACTTCAAAGACCCAACAGTAGCTTACGACTGTTTGATGTAAAGTTCACAGAGACAGAAACTTTCAAGTCCAACGCACAGGGGAATCTCTGAAGGTCCCTCCCGCCCCTGCTCCACCTCTCCGCCCTCAGTCAGGGGTAGCTGTAGAGGAAGGAAACACATTTGAGAGTGTCCCTGAGTGCAGTTTGAAAGGTGCCACAGCCACATCCTCTTTAGGGTTTCAGGGCGGCTTCCCCCATTTTCAGATCATTGGGTTCGGTTTTCAGGGCTGTTTTTAGGTTTCAATTGTCTCCTGCAGTGATTGGCTTCAGGACAATAGGAATGAAAAGAAGTAGCACAAGGAGCTGTTAAACCCTCATCATAATATTTTCATCTTCATGAAAGTTCACAGGGCGTCACGAGCCCAAAAGGTCACAAGTCACAGTTGGACCTGTCAGGTCCCGTGCAGCAAGGAGAGAGAATAGTGGAATGCTGAAAAGCAGGAGGGAGTCATGTGTCCCAGTGGGGATCTGTGGTCACAGTATGAAGGTAAAGATTTAAGAGGGACTATATAGCTCAGGGGTATGGATGTCCTACAGACACATTGTTTCTAGCCTCCCCCACACAGACAGGTCAAATCATTCCTCTTCATGCTATCATTCCAATTGAAGGCAGCTTTGCGCTCTTTTAATTAAAAGGCAAAACCAGAGTCAAAGCAACGAGGTGAGCTTTGTCATGAAGCCACACAGCCAGAGGAGAAACAGGGACAGAGGTCAAACATGTTCAGCAATTTGAGTTCATTTTTCCAAGCCTCGGGCCAAACCACAACCACCATCATCTCATCTGTGGGTTAAAAGAGGGGAAAGCAGCTAAATGGCAAAACAAATGCTAATGTATGCACAATGAAATGGAGTGCAACAAGGACGGTCAATTACCTGTAATGGCCTTTGATCATCAATTAAAAATGCCCTGCAGTTGATTTAATAATTGAAATCATTCTTTGATGAATAATTTAGTGATATCTTCAAATTGCTTTTTTGTCTGACCAGTAGTCTAAAACCCAAAAATCTGTTATCAAAATAAAAAAAGCAGTAAATTACATTGGAGAAGTTCACACCAGTTACTATCATGTTACATGGATAGTATTTCAATAGAATAACCCAGCAACTATTGGATGTTATGCTATCAAAGTCCATACTGATGTTCATGATTCTTCACTTCTGTGATCCCTTGACCTTTCATTTAACACTGTAGGTCAAAGTAGTAAGTTGTTTCCATAGCTA